ATTTGTACGGTTTATTACGCATAGATAACTTTGTAATATCTGAACTGTAATTATAAATTTATTCATGTGAGGTAGGTATCCACCGAGTCTCATACTCATAAAACTATCATAAAATGACATTCAGGTGCGTCTATATATACATACATACAATTTCAATAAAACATATCTTGATGGGTGGAAATGGTATGGTAACCCCGCTTGCGCTAATGGGATACGCTGGCAGAGCACCAGTGAAGGGTGATAGATGAGAATGAAAACAGGTCAGTTAGCCCATCATGATGAATTCATCAGGAATTAACCATGATAGTTTCCAGGGGGAACCGCGAGGAGGTCCACCTGGTTGGGTATATTGCTAGCAATGGGATTCTCAGTCTCCATTACTAACAATCCCTTTCCCCCCGAATTAAATATATCAAAAATTTATAATCTATTTAAAATAATGACCTTAAAGCCTTCACTGTAACCCCTGAGGTTTTGCCCAAGTAATTTAAATGTTATAAACTAGGATAATATATTATGGTCCATGTTTTTATTCATTATAGTCGTACTATAAATTTTTAGTTGCTCTTTTTAGAATCGTTTTAAGTCGTATTTAAAGTTCTGTGAAACCCTATTGTTATTGGGTGAATTTACTGGGTACAGAGGAATAACACCTGAGTCCTCAGGAATGGCAACGCATGGGGGGTATCATGGGCGAAACAGTATACTCTGTTATGTCCATGGTACTGCTCATGTCTATAGGCGACGGTTACCACTTTCTATCAGGTGGGCCGTCAGCTTGTTTGCCATTCTAAGTTGTATTAAAAAAAATTTGTATATATATGTACAGTTTTAGGTATATGTAATATCAGTATCAGCCTGATATCTATGTAATGGGTTTCTCTGAATATTGATAGCTGAAAAAAGGTCATCACTCATTTCTATATCGCCCATATCAGTTGGATATCTGTATTCATTTCTATATTATGTATTGGATGAACGATATTTAATATATTCGTTATTGGGTCAATGTTGTAACTACAATATATAGATTTTGCTATATATTAAGTTCCTACCTCTAGTAACATTATATAAAGCGACGGTCCACTGACACACACGCGTGCGCGCGCAAAACCGCTCACGCTTCTAAGCACGTACGCACACACGCACACACGCGCGCCCATACACACACACGCAGGCCGCACACGCGCTCACACACACATCATACGCATGCACACACACAGGCGTACTCATGCTTTCGTCACTACATACAAATATACACATCAATTATTAATTTTGTACACCATATTTCATCATCATCATATAGCATTTATATATTTATCAAATATAAATGTATCAAATATATTTTTGCTTGCCATATATGCATGACATATTTCAAATTTTATCGCAGAAAATAATATTGGTAGAACATTTCAAGGAAAATTCTATCTTCAATATTGTTTTCAAGCAGGATGTTAAGAGGCTCTTCGATAAGAGTGGCAAGGTCGCGATCTCTTGTTAAGTACCATAGATTTTCATTATTATTATCGTGCTTTAAATTTATCGACAGAATATAAGTATCTAATAAGTATCAGAATATAATATAAGTCGATTGCTTGGGTACCTCTGTCCCATTCGTGTTTCAACCGTGAAGCAGTTATGTTTGCATGGCTGTGTTTCGGTTTGAAGGGTGGGATATGGCGTGAATTTACTGGGTACAGAGGAATAACACCTGAGTCCTCAGGAATGGCAACGCATGGGGGGTATCATAGGCGAAGCAGTATACTCAGTTATGTCCATGGTACTGCTCATGTCTATAGGCGACGGTTACCACTTTCCATCAGGTGGACCGTCAGCTTGTTTGCCATTCTAAGTTGTATAAAAAAAAGAAAAAACAAAAAAAAATCTACTAACTACCTATTTAGAGAAAAAACTAATTTAATTACAAATTTAATAAAAATTACATACATTTTGTAAATAGAATAATAATCTCGTCATAGTACTGTCTGTGTGTCAATAATTTGAGATTGTGTCCCACAAAAAAAAAAAATTAAAGTATGGCAAACCAGTTATTACAATTTTAAATTAAAACTATTGAACCTATGTTGATAAAATTTCAATAAGAGCAATCTGTATAGTATATCCTTTCAGATAAAAAAAGATTTTTCTAAATCACATCATAACTGACGGAGTTATGGGGTAATAAACATAAAAAAGATACACCTGAATTGAGAAGTCCCTTCTTTTTAAAGTTGATTGACAAAATAGAGACAAATTGTGACTCTCTTTCTGGATCATTCTTTAGAGAATTTTGTTACACAAAGAAAAACATCAAAAATAATTATTATAAACACAATACTGTGAATTCGGGAATTAACATATCGTTTGCAAAAATATTAATAAAAATCGGTACACTGTACTGTTTATTTATACACAGTATTTACATATATATGTTGCCATTCCTGAGAACTTAGGTGTTATTCCTCTGTACCATGTAAATTCAAATTCAATCATCTACATACTCATCATACACATGTATTGGATAGTGTAATATGCCCTTAGCTAAATATATCTACGGTGACACATCCACTTTCGTAGCGTGGGTGTAACGTGTTCTACGTCTGTACACTGTCTACGGAGAAATTAAATATATCCATTATTTTAACAGATACAATACGTAAGTTCTTATTATAGGTCAAAGGTTAATGTACCTACTTTATCTCATGTCAGACTTACTTAACATGAGATAGAGTAGTACTGGTGATTAAAACCTAACTTAGATATCTAATAAATCTAACAATACTTGCCAAAAAACCAAATCTAAGAGCTAAGAATGTTTTGCGAATTCTTAGCTCATATCATTTCAATGATGTCACTGAAATATCAAGAGCTAAGAACTTGTCATGTGATCCCGGCATAGAATGGGCCACCCCTTCCTTTCGCATGGGTGTTGTAAGAGGCGACTAAGGGAAATTCATGGTCGAGAAATGTAAAAACGTCCCTCTTAAAACATCACTAAAGCCAACTGCGGTTTCCAATACACCTGCCAAGCGAGAACCCCCTCTCCCCCTCCTTAAGGGAAGCCTACGTTTAGCAGTGGACAGTTAACGGCCGAAATAATAAAAGAAATAACCACGCTATACTTTGTTTTTTCTATTTATATCAGATTTACTATAATATGCAAACTAGTAGATCCCAATTTATATGGCTGTATCCAAAAATGGCTATCTTATCTGACGGATAAGATAGCCATTTTTGGATACATTGTTGTGAACAAAAAGGTTTACTCAAATAAATCTAATAATTCCTTATCGTTAACAAATTAAACCCTTTAGACAAATGTAAAACTGTTCCGTTAAAGGGTCTAAACATTTCTGCTTTAAAGCTGAATCTCTTTATATATTAATTTTAACCGAGTATCTCATGAAAATGTGCACGGTTAAAACTTGCCAAGTTTCAGTTTTAAGTAAGACGGTAGTACTCAATTCATCTTTTTTTTTTGTTCTTTTTGAATTTTAAACAGATAATTCCTATTGCAAACGACAGGATTTATTCCCGCGTTAATCTCATATAATTTAGTGACAAATAAAGTAGTCGTTTTTTTTCATGACAAAACACAGTTTGCCGTTAAAAGAAGAAAAAACTGAATCTTACGAAGAAGAATCTACTAATAGATGTGTAATGAATAAATGTAAAGAACACACTCTTTACTGCGGTTCTAAATTCAAATATTTGAAATTTCAAATATTCAAAGATATTAAATCTTTTAAAGTGTCCAATATAAATTATATAAAATAAAGATTTTACAATACAATTTTCAATCTAAAATGTATACGAAACATGACATCATTCGTCAAACATTTCGATTACGAATAAAGTAGCTGTTTTTTATAAAGTAAAAAATAAATGCATCTTTTTTTATTACGAGTATGTACTTTAACGTCGATATGAGGTTCAAACAGTAAATTTGAGATTTCGGTATGCGAAAATTTGGATAAGTTCGATAGAAAACTTTAATTAAAACTTGAAGAGTGGTCGTTTATCACGCATCAAAAGAAATAACTTTTCTCCCCTATTTGACAAGTCATTAATCTTGATTACGAGTACAAGAAATAAATATTTAATTACTTTAGTTCAGTTTCGTTCTCTCTTTCAAGTGTTTTCTCATTGATGGTGATGATCTAACACAAGATAACTATTATATCGAATTATATTGCTTCCTTATTCAAAAAATCAGATAGTTGTCTACTGTTATTTAAATTAATTACTTAGTACAGAAATCAATAAATTTCAAATATAAAATTCCAATAATTGTTATATGACAATAATAAAATTAAACTTATCTATGTCATATAATTTTTGCAAATATTTTTCTCCTTTTGTAGTGTACCTAAATAGTAGCCCATAAATAATATGAAAACATATAAAAGCTGAGTGTTTTCATTATTTCGGAATATTAAATATTTAAATTTTAAAATACATTTAATTCTCAACTTCAATGTAGAGGAAAAAATTATTGTTGGAGAAATTTTATACCAACATATTAAAATTTTAATAGTATTTTGCACGCTCGAAATCATCTCTCTAATATTTCTTAAATGACGGTCATATGTTCTATTTCTCTTTCTTTTTAATTTCCTTTATACTATTTTTTCAACAGTTTACTAAGTAATAAAATTATTAAGACTACAAAATAACATTTTAGAGTAAATGAGATAACGATATTTTACAAAACTTGTCTCCACGAAGCATAATAAGCACAGCAACTGTCCCTAGCGCAAATTAGGACAGGCCTAAACAAACGCAACGAGGTAAATGTTTATTCGACGTTCTTTCGCTTTAATATTAAAATCAATTATAATTTTGTACGTGTACACAATGTTTGACAGCAAACAGATGCTTGTTTAGGCTCAGAGCCGATCCTCGAGGTGTTTACCCGTTAAAATTGTTAAATTCGTTTAAAAACCCTGACATATGTATAATGAAAAACGTCAAGGTTTATTTGGTGGAGAGTAACAAACCTTAACAGTTCTTAGAGCGCCGTGTGCAGCGTCCTCTGCCCAGACCTTGACGCCTTCCTTCTCGTATTCCAATGTCCAGCCGTCCTCGGATGCCAGCAAGGTTTTTAATGTCTCAAAATCGGAATCGTCGGCTACGCGCGCCTCGCCGCGCGTCCATCCCGCGCCTCCCATCCGACCGCGAACATCACAACACAACTGCAATGTGACTGAGTCGGCCACAGTCGATGGGGCGCGCATGCGTGGAATACACGGAGCAATTTTTCTCACAAAACATCTATTGGTAACCGCATAACGGTTTAACACTACCAAGTGTAGTAATGTAGTTATAGCCCTTTTTTATACAACTTACCTCCGGTTTCCAGCAATATAGTTAAGTACCTATATATCGCAACGTATGTTAGTCTTCGCAATATGTATTTTGGTGGGAAAGATTATCATGATATCTACATAAACGAAAATTTACTTTTGTACATTTATCACGTAAATTGATGTAACGCTCTACAGGTGTTATTTTTATTAAACTTCAAGTCATTAATATTTTATTTAAAGAAACGTGAATCAAAATACGATAAACAATAGTGTCGGCCATATTAACTCGGCTGCTGAACGGGTTGTGTAGTATAGTAGGCTTAAAGCTGTATGTTGTTTTATAACCTTTGTCCCTTTGATCAAAATGTTCAGATTCACCTTAAAATGGTGTTAATAGTTTTTAATTGTACTCAATATTATTTGTAATATATATAATGTGTTACAACGATAAACTATCTGAGGGCCTACCATGAAATTTTTTCCGAAATTTCGAAGCCAAACAAAACACAAATTTAATGTTAAAATTACATAATACATGCCGTTTAAAATTATTAAAAATGTTAAAATATCGTTCCTTTGGACTTTTATGATAGGATGTATGACGAACGAAATGTTAAACTTCATTTATTGATCCGATTTTCGTATAAACAAAAACACGAAATTGAGTCCGAAATTTCGGAATTTCATTTCATGGTAGACCCGCTGAAGGCTCGTCTAATGGAAAGTGATAACAGTCGCCAATATATGCACACAGTACAGAATCATGGGCATCATAAAATATACTGGTGTGTGACACCCATAGAACACTGTTGATAATTTAAAAACTAAAACTCTTCAAACTTATATGAAAGATGAAAACATGATTTTTGTGAATTATTATAAAACAATAGCTTTAAAAAGATGCAGATTATCAATTCACTTGTTTACTATTGCTCATGTTATAAAAAATAACTATCAATAACATATCCGTAATTTTTTATTATAATACAAGAGGCAAACGATCATGCGGCGCATCTGATGGTAAGTGACTAGCACCGCCCATAAGTACCCACAACATCACAGAAATCACAGATGCACTTCAGTTAGAAAGCTTTTTCAATCCGAAAAGCTAATTATAATTGTGATTATCAAAATTAAAAATAGTTTTTTTGTAGAAATAAATGCATTATGGTATGTAAAACTAATAATAATGCTAATGTATTTTAACCTTAATATGCTTAAAACTGCTGATGTTTTAAAAGCCAAAAAGTACCAAAATTTACTTAGTCTAGACTTGTTTTAGTACTACATTATGTACTTGCTTCATTTTAATTTATACTCTTACCTAAGTATATCTATACTTATTAAGTGACTTACTTGTTAAATACTCAGTAAACTGTTAAGCTTGCAGCATCTTCAACAGGTTGCATTAATACCAGGATTAGGTAAATAAGAAATGCACATTATTAGAGTCGAGGTGTATCTTTCGTGTATTTAAAAAAAAATCCATTTCTGTTAACAAATAACAACCTTAGCTTTTACAAAATTCATACATTATGTTATTTTTAAGCGATATTCAAAAGTAGAGAGAAGATTTTTATATCGCTTTATGTATTTTTGTTGCAATCTTATTCTTCACCAATTTTGAACTGATTTTGATATTTATTTTCGTAATCAATTGAACTTGCTCCTATTTTGGTCCCGTGTTATTTTTTTTTATCCAACTTAGAAGGGCAAACAGGCTGACGGCCCGTCTGATGTGCAAGTGGTAACCGTCACCTATAGACGTGAACAAAGGGGTCTACCATGAAATAAAATTCCGGATTTTTGGTTTCAATTTCGACTATTCGTTCATACCGAAATCAGCCCAGTAAATGGAGTTGTTGGAATGTTTTGTTCATCAAAAATCCTACCATAAAAGTCCAAAAGAGCGATATTTTAACATTTTTAATATTTTTAGACAGTATGTATTACGTAATTTTAACATCAGTATTTCGTTCGGCTCCGAAATTTCGGAAAACATATAATGGCCGGCCCTCAGTACCATGAACATAACAGAGTATACTCTATCGCCCATAATACTCTTCATGCGTTACCATTCATTCATTCAATTTTGTTTTCGATTAAAGTATTCTTTTCTGTTGTTCAATTCCATTATACCAATCGGTTTTAAAACCGATTAGCTGGATCGTCTCACACATACCAGTGCGGCTCATATGGCCTTTTCACTCTCCCTCTTTTCCCTGCAAATCGATTCACTGTGTCACCGTTGCAACGGGTTACTTGTTGAACCAGTAATATTATAAGCGTAGACGGTTATCACATACGTGAGACTATTATATGCACATTACATGATATTTGTATTTAGTAATATGTATCTACTATGTATTTAAGTGTATGTATTTATTTATGTAATATTGAAAGTCATTAAATAATTTTCGGTTTTATGCACATGTCTTCACGAAGCACTTTTATATTAGTTAATGATGTACTTCTATCATGTTTGTTTCCGTAAAATTGGCTCACTGATCTATATTTGTAAAACACTGTGTCTTGGTAGTAGCTTATGGACTGCCGCGATACAGATTCGCCAAGTGTGGGGTCCAATGTACTCATGTTGTATATATCTTGTGTTTAATAAATAAAAAATACATTTAGTTGAGTTATTAAAACAACCTGATTTTAATCGGATTGAATAGTGTAACTGCAATATAAAAATTAACCAATTAAATTTTGAGTGAATGTTCATTAGTAAAATCAACTAAGGACTATAAAGAACTAGTTTTTAACCAACTTCATCAACGTGATCAGGATATATAAATAGAAAGGGATACCAATTAGCCTGTGTGATTGGCTAAGCCATTCAAGTGACAAAAGGTAACAAACAAACAACTTCATATTTCTAATATTAGTAAGGATAGTGGTCAGGAACTCGTTCTTAGTACGATCTTTAAATACATACGAACTTTTTAAATCCTAAGTAGACCCCTGTCATTATATTATTTATTTAATACTTTATTGTATACACTAATTATACATAAAAATATGACAGAGCGAAAGGCGTAAGAGTACCAAGGCGAGCTTGACTCTAAAAGAGTTCTCTTCCAGCAAATCCATATTCCTACACTTATCCCAGTTGTTATTTGGAATCGGTGTAATATATTTTTCTCTTCCTTCCTTCTTTATTCGCAATCATTTCCACATTAATTCCCATTCTGTCCCTATCATCTTTTACACAATCCATCCATATTTTTTTAGTTCTTCCTCTGTTCTTACAGCCATCTATTCTAAATGGACCCCTGTGCATCAGAAAGGTTATCTTAAAAGTCATGCTCTCAGTACCCACTTAATGATGAAGCCCAAATTCTTTACCCCATATAATTACCTAATCGACTGCAAACCTTGGAATATGCGAGCGTACACCAAAAGCGCAAACGCAAGTGCTTGGGAATCCAAACCTAGTACATTGGCAAAAAAATGGACCCCTGTGGTTATGCAAAAAATAAAAGATACACATTACTTCCGAACTGATCAACATTTGTAAGTACAACTGTGATATAGAACAAATAAATTATGTATTTTTGTTTTATGGTTTGCGGTACAGTATTTAAGGCATCCCGCCCTCGCTATTGTACGAGTATACGGTTGACGGAATGCCTATACAAGAGAGTACTTGGTGGGCGCAATTTAGACGCAATATTTGAGGAGGAGCATTAGGAAGGTAAATGAACGGCCGGATACTGCAACAAATGAGTATGCTGTATTTAGATTTCGTTTATTACTGTAATATAAATATATTCTAGCAATTACTGATATCTGGCAGCGGCTTATTTTGGCAGTGGTTGCGCCATCCATACCACGCCATGAAATGGTGACGCTTGTATATCTTCTTGGCGCATTTAGAGGCAACCGTGATATCGTCGGTCAAGAGTTCTGAAAAAGAATAAAGTTTTTAATTTTGTTTTCCTGTTTATAAATGCTTAATGGAAAACTTATAAATATACGTAATAAAAGATTTTTTTATTACTTAGCTAATTTTAGAGTCAAATTTGTATTTTTAAATGTTTCATTGTCAAATTTAAACATTGTTTTTACAGCAACGATTAATTACGACTTTCACGGAAACCATTCTAATTTTAAATTTATTTAAAACACGATGAAATCAAAAAAGGAATGCTTTTAATATAAATTGTCAATAAATTGATATAAAAAGAAATCCTTATGTAACATGGAAAAGATAATGGATAAGTTAGGGGAGAATGTCTAAAACTAGGTTATTAAATAGTTACTTACGTTTTTCCTATAGGTCAAAAGCGATTCTGACGTTTGAAGTACATTTTTTATAGAACAAAATTTTTAATATAGATAAATTGACTTACGGGAACAAGTAATGTTGCATCCTTTTCCAGGCTTAGTAGTATTATTGCACCAGTATTTGTCATTGATCTGGAATAAGCCATAATCTCTAGATCCGTTTTTATTCGGCTTGCCGACTATATCCGTTCTGCGACCGCTCTCATTCTCAACAAGGCACACCCCTAAATGGGGAAGATAATACTGGTAAATACATTAAGATTCAATGGAGTCGATTCTGAAGCGTAATTTCTCTAAATGTATCTCTAAAATTAAAATTTCAATTGGATATCAGAGCGACATCTTTATTCTAATGACCAATATGAACTATAGTTTTAATAGATTTAAGTCTTTACTATAAATTTAGTTTATGATGATCTGTTAAACGATCTTTTCACAAAACTGATAGTTTTAATTAATCTATTAGGCTAGGAGATAGGTTCAGAAAAATGGCGTCTCAAAATCGACTCTAATTATTTCAATTGTTTTTATTATTTTTAGAAATACAAGCGAGCTCACAGTCTATCTGATAGGAAGTGGAACTTCGCTCATAAACACTTGAAACACAGAAGTTTTCTTTAAAAAATGTATTATTAATAATTTGATAATACATTTTTTAAAGAAAACCCATATTAAAATACAAGACCAAACCTTACAATAGTTTCGAGATAATCACATTGAAAATTAATAATTTTCATTCTATTTTTATTTTTTATAAAACTTCAAAATACAAAAAACTTCAAAATGACGGCGCACATGGTGGAAAGTGCTGGCCGTCCTAATACATGATATTTCACGTTTAAAAAATATAGGTTATAATATTTTCATTGCATTATAAAATCTACAAACGCTGCGAGAAAAACCTACATATGTATTTATTTCGTGGTCACAGCTTATCGCTACAAAATTTTGTGATAAAGCTTGCGGCTACACAAAATTCATCAAGAAGTTCATTAGCACATTTGCCATTCCGTATAGGTGCCTAATAAAAATAAAAGATTTCATATTAACAGTACAATTTATTTTACTCACGACTACGCAAATGATAACCTCTTAACACTTTTATTATCCCAGAAATTGACCTCCAGAATAAAACATTTCCAATCCGCCATTAAACTTGATAATGAAGTCAAACAAACAAAATCTAGGTAATAAGGAAGTCCGCGGCTTTGATCGCGCGGGAATCCATTATCCCGACAGGGTCTCTCTATTGCATCTTTCAAGAAAAAAATAAAATTACATTTTCTTTCTCACTTAATCTTTATTTTTAATTTTTCAATTTTACTGTCATATCTTAAAATCATTAATCTAAATTTATAATGTAGTTGGTATATATAAATAATATATCTAATAAATAATCTCTATCTAATAAATATATTATTATTATATTATTTATATGTTATAATATTTAATTTAGCTGTTTATGTATTAGTATTGATGTTGTTCCTACAGCACTCGCATACTTTTGTTGCTCACTATAGGTATACATATGCTTTCATTGGTCTCTTACAGAGGTAAGACCATTCTTGTTCACAATATTTGTAATTGTCTTATCTATGTAATTTATAAGTGCAATAAAGAATGTAAAGAATTTTCAACCTTTTAAAAAAGGTACATAGATAGTAAATATATAAATCAACATAAAAATTGCATTAAAATAATTGACTTTTAATACTTTACTATACAGTAAACTCTTAAATTATATGATAAAGGAGTTCTTAAGAAATGAGTATAATGGCGGTCTTATCCTGTAAAAGGGATTTCATCTAGTTAATTCTGAATGCCTGAAAGGAATGGTTTTGCATTGACAATTTGACGAAGATAAGAAAATATTTATTTTTTCTTTATTAATCTTTATCTTTATCCCTGATAATATACATATTCTTTATTGCACTAAAACATACAGTAACAACAATAAGGTAATAAACTTTGTTAGCACTTACCCCTAATAGAGATTTCTTCCAGTCAACCTAACACAGTGGCATAGGAAGTAGTGAGTGGGCAGTAATAGTGCAAAACAGAAATTAAAATAAATATTTACATAAATTATATATATATATATATATATATATATATATATATATATATATATATATATATATATATATATACATAATGAATATAAACCTACATAAATAAGAATATATATAATGATGACAGTCTTTTAATCATTTTTTATATTTAAACAAAATTAGAAAAATAGAATGATTTTAATCTTTTTTGGAAGGAACTACTAGACGGGCTATTCTAAATACTCACGGGAAGTTTATTCCACAACTGTACAGCACGATATGCAAATAAATTATCCATAAAATGGGTTTTACAGCCAGGAAGCTTCAGTACCCTGGATTGGTTCAGACCAAGACGTCTAGGTCTGGAAGGAGGAGGTAACAATTGGAACCGGAAACAAAGGTAGAAAGGAGAGTTGGGATCATTAAGGACATTATATAGGACCGCTAGGACATGCGTCTCATGACGCTGTCTGATTGGGAGCCACTTTAAACGAGTGCGGTATTTTTTTTTATAGGTGGTAATTGTATGGTAACGGTAACTCCGTCTGCACTAACGGGATACGTTGGCGGAGCACCAGTGAAGGGTGATAGATGAGAATGTAAACAGGCCAGTTAGCCCATCATGATAAATTAATCGAGAATTAACCATGATAGTTTCCAGGAGGAACCGCGAGGAGGTCGACCTGGTTGGGTATATTGCTGGCAATGGGATTCTCAGTTTCCATTACTAACAATCCCTTTCCCCCCCGAGTGCAGTATTCCGAGATAGACATTAATAATGTTATAAATGTGAAGGTGAATTTGATTATATGTTGTTTGTTAACTCTTAACACCTTTACGGCTTAACCAATCATAAAATCTAAATTTATAAATATAATTTATATATATAATAAATATAATACGTTTATACTAAGTATAAACGTATTATATATTTTGAATATATTTTATGCAATTTAAATAAAATTCATCCCCATCGTGCATCCGATCAAACTGTTTATAATTACTCCGCTCCATACAAAGGTTGCCTGGAAGAGATCGCTTTTAGGGATAAGATCGTCCATTGTTTTCTCACTGTGATCATTCCTTATCATTGTTTGTATTCATAATAAGTTTACTATTGTAATCGTTTGGCGGCAACAATAAGGAATATCTATCTATTAGCATCTATTTATATACGATGGAGAAAGATATAGACTACTATTCATACTTAATCAATCAACATATTTCTATCACGCGGCGTGAATTTACTGGGTACAGAGGAATAACACCTGAGTCCTCAGGAGTGGCAACGCATGGGGTGTATCATGGGCGAAACAGTATACTCTGTTATGTCCATGGTACTGCTCATGTCTATAGGCGACGGTTACCACTTTACATCAAGTGGGCCGTCAGCTTGTTTGCCATTCTAACTTGTATAAAAAAAAAGAAAAAACGCGGTCGAAGTAGCGAGTATAAACTAGCAATGACATAATAAAGCGATAGGCATACTTGATACTCACAGTCTCTCATCTTGGCCTCATCAAATCCTTGACTCCTAAGTGCTTGGACCAGTCCGCATCTCGTAAAAGTCTTCGCATCAACCTGTGATGCCAGCGAAAAAGCGATAAAAACAATAAATATTATTGTTTTCATTTCTTTATATAAATGCTTTACCGATAAACCCAAGTAACTCGTCCAAATAACAACACCAGAATGTTTTTAAGAACATATTTAATTCGCTTATATACTATTGCGTATTTGATTCATATTGTTTACAACTTTAATAAATTCATAAGGGATTCCCGAACTGATATGGTGGGTTCAAATGGGCACGCCTGATTTGTCTGGTCAAATCATACAATGGTAAGAAAAACCAGTACATATAATTGAAGAATCTCATAGGTATACAGTTGCAAAGTATGATAATGTAAATGAAATAAACATTTTTTAAATACTTCATGAAATACTAGCATAAATAGCAGCTTTAGTCACATACATGAGTTAATATAAGCCTATAGTTAAGATGTCTATCTGAGATATATCCGTACCTATAAATCATCACACATCATATAATATAGTATAATTGAGTAACATACATCTTATTTATTGATACTTTATTGTACACACAGATAATATATAAAAAAAAATATGACAGAGGTAAGCAAATACTCAAATGTAAGCTTAACTCTAAAATTTTTCTCTTCCAGCAAACCCTAAGTTTTTTTTTTTTATACAACTTAGAATGGCAAACAAGCTGACGGCCCACCTGATAGAAAGTGGTAACCGTCGCCTATAGACATGAGCAGTACCATGGACATAACAGAATATACTGTTTTGCCCATGATACCCCCATGCGTTGTCATTCCTGAGGACTCAGGTATTATTCCTCCGTACCCAGTAAATTCACGCCATATCCCACCCTTCAAACCGAAACACAGCCATGCAAACACAGCTGCTTCACGGTTGAAACACGAATGGGCCAGAGGTACCCAAGCAATCGACTTTTGTACAAAGTCTCCCTCTGGTAAAGGAAGGAAAGTGGAAAGGAGCATTAATGTGTTAAGAAAATTTGTCATTTATTAGTTGGAAGTAAGACAAACTATCGACCTGTTTTAGAACCATCTAAATCCATGAACCTAAACACACGGAAATATTCTTTTTTTTTCTAGGAAAGAAATACAAACGAGCATGTGACAGCCAACTGATATTAAGAACACCAGATATGTTACCAATACCAATATAAGTTCTCTTCTTAGTTCTTCGTGTCTAATTTATTTGGAAATGCCACTGCAGGTAATTCGTTTCGCATTTTTATGGCCTGTAACAGGAAATGTCGCGTAAAACGCACCGTAGTGGACCCGCCATTCGTCAACGTGGTGTTGGTAGAATTTTAATTTGAGTGGGATAGGACGACAGTGTTTCAGAGGGCACGTAACGCCACCATCCTTCAGAGACCTTCATGCATAATTAAGAAGACGTAGAAACTCTTGAGAGCAATATCCAAGCGCGAGTTATATTAGTACGATAATGGAAATTAGTTGCTGGTATATTACTCGAAGCCGTGTGGTCCGGGCATAGAATAGGCCATCCCTTCCTATCCCGTGGGTGTCTTAAGAGGCGACTAACGAAAGGCAAGGGATGGGCAGTAGCGTACCTCTTAAAACATCTCCAAAGCCTAACTGCGGTTACCAATCCGCCTGCCAAGCGTGGCAACTACTTGCAAAAAAAATCTATCAGACATTTAAAGATTAACTGTAAGGAATCCCTTTTATGGAATAAGTCCGCCATTATACTCATTCTTTTCTTAAGAGCTCTGTATCCTATAATTTAAAACTTTACTGTACAATAAAGTGTTACTAACAAACAAGCAAAAAAATCTGTAAAATATGCAAATACTTAACATAATGTCTCCTAGGGTAGATAAAGAATTAAGCTAATCGAGTAAAGCTAGGTTATCAAGGATTCGAAATGCTTTGGATGCGAGGAAATGAAAGAAACTGTTACTGAAAGGCTCTGGCCTAATAATGAGAGCAGTACTTCATAAGGGCCTTAAAGAAGATAATTTTTACCTTTGTAAAAGGCTAGCAATGTATTGGTGAATCCGCTGTTGCCATTAGTGCCCATGGGTTATGGTAAATAATTGTCATCAGGTGAACCCCATGCTTGTCTGTCGACCTTTCACATAAAAAAAATCTTTGCAGGGTTTAAGATGGTAAGCTTGTTGGAAATAAATATATGTAGATCCTTAATTATAAAACGCGTTTTAGGCGACTTCGGAAAAGAGCAGTTTCTCAATTTACCTGGACAGTTGGTTAGTTAATATTTTGCATAATAATCTACTTTTGTTGTGACTACTAAAGCTATAATATCATATACATATACACTATGAGACTTATTCATATTTGTCAAGCGATCTAACTCGGAAAAATGTGTAAACACCGCCTGGTTATTTTTTTTTAATGGATGATAATGGAATGATGACTCCGCCTGTGCTATCGGTATACACTAGCAGGGCACCCGTGAGAGATGATTGGTGAAGATGAATAGGCAGGTCAGTTAGCCCATCGTGACGAATTCATCGATAAATTAGTTACGATGGTTTCCAGGGGGAACCACGTGGAGGTCGACCTGGTACAGTATATTGATAGCAATGAGGACTAACCTCCCCATTACCAACAATCCCTTCCCCCCACCGCCTGGTTATTGAACTGCAATAGATACCTATAGGTCGATGTACTATAGTATAATTGTGTATACAATAATATTACTATTTAGCTATTTTACAGCTAACCTTAAAAAGAGGTCATTCTCAAATTCTACTAGTGTATATTTCAAGATATCGTCGCCATATCTATACCGATTTTGATAATTCTTTTCCCATTGAAATTACATGCCACAGAACAGGAACAATAGTGATAATATTATGGGACACCATACTCTGTGAAGCTACAGTGCAGGATTTGTCTATATATGATGATTGCCTTATTTCTACCAATTCAAATACATTAAAAATTAAACACAAAATTATTTGTATTAAGAATTTTATTTAATCCATAAACGGAAAATAAAGTAATTCTCATCAATTACTTTAGAATATAGAAATAATAAGTAGAAGTATATAATATAAAAATGAACACTAAAAATGTGCGTAATAGGTAGGCAGGTTTGTCCTTACCTACTTATCTTAGTGTACCTACATATACAAATTTAATAAATAGTATATTCACTTTTACCTAAGAAATATAGTTAATAATCTTTTTCAGACATACGTATAATTAAAGTAATAACGAAAAATATTTGAGGTAAATAAATATTTTTTTTAGTTTTCAATTACTTCGAATTTCTATCGTAGATTCTTTCTAATTTTAAACATTAAATCGCAGGTGTGTAAACACAATTTATATATTATGTAAATTTTATGACACATGAAAAGTTGTGATTGGTTATTATTCTAATAACATGCTACAATGTAATATATGTAATTTTGAGATGTGTCAGTTTAGTCCATAGACTGTACTTAAGTTTTAGTAACAAATATAATTGGGATAAATTAATAAAAAAAGTAGGTAATTCTACAATGTATATATATATATATATATATATATATATATATATATATATATATATATATATATATATATATATATATATATATATATATATATATATATATATATATATATTAATATGCATCTCTTTTTATTTTTATTATTAATATGTATATAACTTCTAGGGATTAACATTTGCTGATGTCTGGCAGTGGCTTATTTTGGCAGTGGTTGCGCCATCCATACCACGCCATAAAATTATGACGCTTGTATACCTTCTTGGCGCATTTAGAGGCAACTGTTATATCGTCGGTCAAGAGTTCTGCAAACAAAAATATATATATATATTCTTTATTGCACAAAAACATACAGTAACAACAATAAGTTAATAACAATGTTAGCAAAGGCGAACTTATCTCTAAAAGAGATTTCTTCCAGTCAACCTAACGCAGTGGCATAGGAAGTAGTGAGTGGGCAGTAGTAGTGCAAGACAGAAATTTAAATAAATATTTACATAAATTATAAATAATTATATATATACACACATACATTCACATATATACATACATACACATACACATATATATACATATACACATACATATACATATACACACATACATACACACGTTAAATACAACATATAAATATCAGATACAAGAGAACACGATGATGACAGTCTTCTAATCATTTTTATATTTAAATTAAATTGGAAAGATAAAATGATTTTAATCTTTTTTTGAAGGAACTGCTAGACGGGCTATTCTGAATATTCACGGGAAGTTTATTCCACAGCTGTACAGCACGATATGCAAATGAGTTACCCATAAAATGGGTTTTACAGCTGGGAAGCTTCAGTACCCTGGACTGGTTCAGACAAAGACGTCTAGGTCTGGAAGGAGGAGGTAATAATTGGAACCGGGAATTATTAGGAAATTATTTTATTACATTTTACTACTTAGTTTAAGAAAAATATAAATCCCCTAAATAAGTAACAAACAAACCTATACATGGATACGTTTTTTATTGACAAACATGCATGCATATTAGTAGATCATGCTCGGGCTTTAATGACAATATTTAATGCAAACAAGCTGACGGCCCACCTGATGGAAAGTGGTAACCGTCGCCTATAGACATGAGCAGTACCATGGACATAACAGAGTATACTGTTTCACCCATGATACCCCCCATGCGTTGCCATTCCTGAGGACTCAAATGTGATTCCTCTGTACCCTGTAAAATCACGCCATATCCCACCCTTCAAACCGAAATACAGCCATGCAAACACAACTGCTTTACGGTTGAAACACAAATGGGACAGAGGTACCCAAGCAATCGACTTTTGTACAAAGCCTCTCTCTAGTATATAACATATATAAAAAAGTAACTATTGAGTTGCTTTCGAGCTCTTCTCAGCAGATAACTACTTTCCGAACCCTGCAGTGAATTTAATAAGAAAAATTACAAAGAATTTTTATATAGTTTTCGCATTAATTCTGTAGTTAATGTAAAATAGACTCAAACAGAAGTTTGTATTGCATTATCTTATTAATAGTAAGTTTCAATAACAATAATTTATCTAACTATACCAAAATACATTACTTGCGACTACATACACTCGTAACTACCATCTCTGAACTAGACGGTTATCCATATTTTAAAACCAACATATTGAGAACGTAAACTATGAACGTAAACTATTAAAGGGGAAATATATTTATAATGCTACTACTTTAAAAAAAATAACTTACGGGAACAGGTAATATTACAATCCTTGCCAGCTTTAGAGGTGTTGCTGCACCAGTACTTGTCATTTATCTGGAATAAACCATAGTCCCTGGATCCGTTCTTATTCGGCTTGCCGACTATATCCGTTCTGCCACGGCTCTCGTTCTCAACGAGGCACACCCCTAAAAGGGAAATAATAGCTTAGCTCTAGCATTATATTATCTGTGCCTATAATTGTTGACAATTCTCTGAAGTACACTCGACTTAAAAGTCTCTACTGTTAATTTTATTAGTAAAATATTTCTTGCAATTTTTTGACTAATTTAATTGCTAAATAATAACTAATTTTTAAATTAACCAGCGTCCATCTTCATCCCATATGTATGCCATATTCGTGAACTTTCTTTGAGCAATTAAATCGTCAAAAAGTAGCAAATATACTTTCGCATTTATTTTGGTCTTTTTTTCGCATTTATTTGGCTACTTTTTATTTTGGTCTATCAATATTATACCAGTCATGCAGATAAAATAGCCGTTGAAACTAGTGTAAATAAAAAAAAAAAGTTATACTTACAGTCTCTCAATTTTGCCTCATCAAAACCTTGGCGTCTAAGTGCTTGAACCAATTCGCATCTTGTAAATGTCTTCGCATCAATCTGTGACACCATCACGAGTGCAACAAGGACAGCTAATATTAGTTTTTCCATTTTTAAAAATTTATTTTTTCTTATGCTCAAGTGGTCAGTATAAATACTAAAACCTGAATGATTTAAAGAGGGAACCGTGCACTTATATATAACTCGTTTAGCCTCTTATAAGTACAATGGCACCACGGGATTCCCTGACTGATACGGGACAAGTAGGTACATTCTTTGTTTGGTTATCCTAATAAAATTGATGAAATCATACAAAGCAAAAGTTTCACGAGGAAAATCGCTTTAACATTAAATACTAGACATTTACCGCGGCTTTGTCTGCATGAATCAGTATAAATAATATCCTATGTGTTAAATTAGGATACTCGTGGAGTGGGTCACTCGTGTATCAAATTTCATTCAAAATTGTTGAGCCGTTTACGATATTAAGTAACAGACATATAAACATCTTTACAAACTTTCAAATTTATAATATTAATAGTATGATAGTGTTAAATATTGAATTAATATTGTTATAAAAAATAAATAAATAAAAAACAGGATATCCTGTGGACTAGGATATATGACTGGGAGAGAATTACCAGAAGGAGACTTTGTACAAAAGTCGATTGCTTGGGTACCTCTGTCCCTTTCGTGTTTCAACCGTGAAGCAGCTGTTTGCATGGTTGTGTTTCGGTTTGCAGGGTGGGATATGGCGTGAATTTACTGGGTACAGAGGAATAACACCTGACTCCTCAGGAATGGTAACGCATGGGAAGTATCATGGGCGAAACAATATACTCTGTTATGTACATGGTACTGCTCATGTCTATAGGCGACGGTTACCACTTTCCGTCAGATGGGCCATCAGCTTGTTTGCCATTCTAAGTTGTATAAAAAAAAGAATGCTTTTAGCATTAGGTCCGCCATATACTCATATATGTACTAATGAATAAATAAATAAATATGCTGTATTATAGGAAAACAAGCAACAAATAACTGGAAGACACTAACGAAAACACCCAAACACGTGACAGTTTAGAAAAGTTCATTGCCTAAATTGGCTCGACCGAGTATCGAACCCGGGTCCTCATTGATCAATGTAACTACCATTATACATGTGATACCTCTACTACCAAGAGTTTTTAAATTTGTTTATTTGAAAACCTCTGATGTTATTTTAGACAGCTACGTCCGGAATAACGACAGAGACAGGCAAACTGCTTAGTACCGGGGGGAAAAGGGATTGTTAGTAATGGAGACTGAGAATCCCATTGCTAGCAATATACCCAACCAGGTCGACCTCCTCGCGGTTCTCCCTGGAAACTATCATGGTTAATTCCTGATGAAATTATCATGATGGGCTAACTGGCCTGTTTTCGTTCTCATCTATCACCCTTCACTGGTGCTCCGCCAGCGTATACCGTTAGCGCAGGCGGGGTTACCATACTATTTTCACCCATAAAAAAAAAAAAATAAGTACCTCTTTAAAACTGTAAATACTATGTTTGTAACGATGGATGTATGTTTGTTACTCTTTCACGCAAAAACAAAACGGATTTAAATGAAAGTTGGTACACGTGTAGATTATATATCCTAGCTTAACACTTTGGGAAAAGGGATGGTTAATAATGAAGTCTAACAGCTCAATTGCTAGCAATATACCATATCAGGTCGACCTCCGCGCGGTTCTCCCTGCTAACTGTTGTGGTTAATTATTATTGAATTCATCACGACGGGTCAACTGCCCTGTTTTCCTCCTCACCTATCATCTTTCGCTGGTCCCCCACCAGCGTATACCGATAGCGCAGGCGGGGTTACCACTTCTTTTTAACCCATTAAAAAAAACCTTGCACTTATAGTACTTCATGTAATGACTAACACGTGTGAAACCGCGAGATACAATTAGTTTGTAATATATTCGTAACTCTAATAGTCGTATCAGCGCCGATATCGGTCATATTACTTCATAATCACTGTCGATGACTTGATGACATACTTTGATTAATACGCTGGTACCACTGAATGATGATAAGAGATGACAAGCTAATAAACTAAGAATTAACTATGACAGTTTCCAGGAGGCACCATATGGAGGCCGAATATTAGGGATATTTTTTTTATATTATTTTAATATATTATGTAATGTTGCATGTATATATTTTTGACAAAAGGGATTGTTAGTAGTAAAGTTTAACAACTTCATTGCTAGCAATACATTCAATGCAATGCAGTCAGGGTCGAACTGGGTCGGAAAAGCCCTGGTGGTTGACCATAAGGCGGGGCCTGAGACTAGATGATAGTAATTGCACCAGTTGGTAGCGGCACCACAAGCCCTAAGCCAGGCCCGTGGAGTACCCAGGCAGGCTGGGGCACAACTAAAAAATGGCACATCGACTATATGGCCAGTCCGACGCTAAATACAGTGGTTGTTGTTCAATTGGTCTATATGGGCCAATTGACCTGTCTTCATCTTCACCTGTCATCCTTCACTGAAACCCTGTTTGCGCTATCGGTATACACTAGCTTACTATTCCATCTTCACCTATTGAAATAAAATGCCATCAATTAATGTAGGATAAATTATCTGCATTACAGACTAGGTGAAGTCCCATTCGCAAATTGTTTTTACTGATAATGCAATGACCCGTTAAAAGTTGTGCGATATTTAGAGTAAAAATAATTTTAGAACAAGTCGTTATGATACAAGTGACCTTTAATTAATGAGACTTTATAAAAATAAAAGTGAATCGCTAAATATGTTGCTAAGCGCAAAACTTGGGAACGATTGGATCAATATAGCTAACGTCATTTTTTACATTAATTCGTCGAAATTTGATGAAACGATTTATACCGAGAAAAATTGTTTGAAAAAACCTAAAAGCCTCATTTTTTCTATACAAACGCTTCATAGCAGCTAATTTTTTTTTTTACTACGATGTTGGTAAACATGTATACAGCCCGTGTGATGGTAAACGGTCACTGTAGCCTGCCAGCATGTGGGCGCGAGTAACGTGCATTGTCAGCCCTAAAATTCAAACATTTCAATAATGTTAACAATACGACGTGTATTGGATCAGCTACTTTGTTTGTTAAATATAAATATTAATTTATAATGAAACTAACAGACGGACTTATCCCTTGAAGGATTTCTTCCAGTCAACATTGAGAATTTTTTTTTTTTAAGCAAACAAGCTGACGGCCCACCTAATGGAAAGTGGTAACCGTCGCCTATAGACATGAGCAATACCATGGACATAACAGAGTATACTGTTTCGCTCATGATACCCCCCATGCGTTACCATTTCTGAGGACTCAGGTGTTATTCCTCTGTATCCTGTAAAAACACGCCATATCCCACCCTTCAAATCGAAACACAGCCATGCAAACACAACTGCTTCACGGTTGAAACACGAATAGGAAATATTCATACATTATTTTTATTGTGCTGGAATTGAACTCACGACTATTTGAAAGGTGAGGGCTTCATCACCAAGGTCATTCAATTATTGAATTATGCTTATTCATATATAGGCTGTCATATTTAATAAAATCATTTGAATAAAATGTTCATAACACATTAATATAGCTGATCACAATAATATTCATACCACAATTCAATATTAGAACAAAGCAAGGCTTTATGACAACATCGTGAACGTTATGAATAAATAAGTATTAAATAGTGTAGCCATCACTCGATTACCTACTCTCGGTATTCGAGAGAGCAGAGGCCGCCAGCGCCGCCTCCCAGCTCGATTCCATGATTGTATACTCTAGATTAGCGTATGAGTTGTCTCTGCTTGTTAATTAGTCTATACTGTCTGTAAGGTTTTTTAAGAGTGTCCATGTTTTTTGTGTGTTACAATATTTAATACGAGTTATATGTTTACCTCAAGTAAAAGTATATTCCCACAATAAAAAAACGTTTTCTTTGGCCCGTAACCCCAAGAACTCACTAAAGTGGCAGCCCAACGCGAGGCCGAACATTTAATAATTAAAAGTGGTGCAAGTTGTGAACAAAAGACTGTGAAAACCATTTGTTTGTTGCCGAGTGTTAGTGTACAGCCTAATCCATAATCATTAGTGCTAGAACATTCGACAAATGGACAGTCCTGGTTCAAAACTTTAATATTTTTACAAAAGATTTTGAGGTAAAGACATTCCATATAATAGTTACGTCGTATTTTATGGACATTTTTGGGACAGTATCAAGTATTTACAGTGTATCGAAGTAATTGTTGCATCAAATCAAAAAAGAAATTCAATATTGTAGTGTGTATAATTTTGTCATATTTCAATTTCCGTTTTTTATTCGAAATTCTTCTTGTCAGACTGCTATAGACAATATAGAGTGAAGGAACGGACAATTTTGGATTGAATGTTGACAGTACAATATTGCCAACATTACGTCACAAATAGTGATGTACATGTGTCGATAAATGTAGTGAAGTACGAGTCGCTATCGAAAATCGATTTGATGATAAATTATTTGTTGTGAACTTTAAAATGGTTCTTACACGTTCTAGAGCTAATAGTCTAGTGAGTGAGGACAGTTCACGGGTTTTGACTACAACTGTCAGTTCGGTGACATCGGCTAACCCGGCTGCGCCTGTCGCGAGTACGCAGTGCACGCGATCGCCTGTCATCTCAGGCACAGCTGATGACACACTTCAACACAGCGTGTTTCAGCCTGGCTCCGGCGAAATTGGTGGGGTGCACACTATGTCAAGATTGCCCCCGCCGGTCACTACAGTTGCACCTGCTGAACCTGGCGTGCATAGCGTGCCGCCGCCTCAGATTCATCACATCGTGCCTACAACAACGCCTGTTGCCACAATGCAGGCCACAGCTACTACGTGTCCGCAAGTACCTATTCAGTTACCATATGCTATGTCTCCTGGTTGGCATGTGCATCCTGCACATCGAGTCCCGCCGATCCCTACTGCTCCGACCACGTCAGCCGCATTTTATGGCATGCCTGCATGGTCTACTCAGACGCACACGAATGTTTCGCCATCTATGTATGCTCCGCCATATATACATCATGCTCCCATGCACTTCATTCCACCCGATGGATACTTACCTTCGCCGACGATGCCTGCACCTGTAAATAATATGAATAGTCATCAATCTTACCTCGATGGTGCATCGAACACTGCTGCTTCTGCTGCACCTACGCCTTTGGTAATCACGGATGGTCAGTTAGCTCAGATTGTGAGTGCGCTTAGAACGCAACCTGCTACTGTTGGAGGTAATTTTGCCAGGTGTACTGCACGTTTTGATGGAACGGGAGATATACAAGCTTTTGTGGATGCTATTCTTATATATAAAGAATGTGTTAGTATCTCAGATGAAATAGCGCTTCGTGGTATACCAATGCTTTTAACAGGTTTCGCAGCAACCTGGTGGCAAGGGATCAAGCACTCTGTGATGACCTGGAATGAAGCGATACAACTACTTCAAGGTACCTATGGAGTTCAGTTACCGCCACATAAGGTGTATAGACGCCTGTTCGAACGAGAACAAGGAGACGAAGCTACTGATATTTTTGTAACTAAAGCGAGAGCGCTGATTAGTCAGCTGCCGCCAAATACGCTTTCAGAAGAAACTCAGCTGGACATGGTTTATGGTCTACTTAGTTGTCATATACGAGAGAAAGTACCTCGAACATCGTTTTCATCATTTGCCGAACTGCTTCAGAAAGCACGCATTGTTGAAGAACTGTATGCAGAAGGCCAGCAGACGCCTGTCACATCGACGATGTCAACACCCAGTAAATTAGCCTTCTCGACACCCGCTGCTGCATCTAAGGGTCCCGTTATGAAGAAAACCAGACCGAGATGCGGGTATTGTAAACAATTTGGTCATAAAACAGAAGGATGTCCGAAAGGACAGAGACAAAGAGGTAAGCAAGAGGGAAACACTAAGGAATATTCTCCACCTCCAACAATTACATGTTATGGCTGTGGTGCGCCGGGAGTGATCCGTTCAAATTGCCCCACGTGCAAGAAGCGGCCGACCATACCAGTAACGGCATCAACATCATCCACTGCTTTCCAATCGGTTGCTGCCTTGGGAAATAAGGATATAGACCCACGAGCACGCCCGAAACTTGATGTTGAGATATATGGTGAATGTGGTACCGCTTTAATTGATACCGGTGCAAAACAATCTATAGCTAGTAAAAGTTTATATACATTTTTAAGAACTCGAAATCATGTGTTTAGTTTTGTAAATACTAATGTTAAATTAGCCGATGGCTCTAGTAAATTAATGAATGTTGCAACCACTAAGGTTGATGTAAAGGTTCAGGGTATAATTATACCAACTGTGTTTATAGTATTACCCGATGCTACAGACTCCCTTATTAGGAATGAACTTTATACAGGAAGCTGGTATGATACTGAATTTTGAAAGGCACTTGTATACTCTTAAATCTGATTCTAGGCACTTCAACCTTAGGTATGAGGCGATTGATCCAGTGGGTGAGATCGTACGAACAGCTTCAGCCATCGTTCTTCGTGACGAGGAAGGTGCGTTCCTCTCAGCTTCGGAACGGGGAGTCATTTAACACTCTCCTGCATGACAATCGGGACATCTTCGAGCCAGGGGGAGCCCCTACAACGTTCGCAGTCCACAGGATTGATACAGGTGAGCATGCTCCTGTAGCTGTACCGCCTTATCGTGTCTCGCCATGGAAGAAAGAAATTATGAGGAAGGAGATAGAACGTATGTTAGAAGAGGAAATCATAGAAGAAGCAGAGTCTGAATGGGGATCTCCGGTAGTGCTGATTCCAAAGAAGTCGCCTGGTGAGTGGCGGTTTGCTATAGACTATAGAAACGTAAACGCCATCACAAAACAGATAAGTATCCATTGCCCGTCATTGATGACATCCTGTTTTCTAACAAGGCTGGTGCAGTCATGTCTACGATCGATTTAAAGTCAGGATACTGGCAGATCGAGGTCCACCCCGATGACAGAGACAAGCGTCTTTTGTCACGCCTTTCGGTGTGTTCCGTTTCCGCCGCATGCCGTTTGGGTTACGTAATGCGCCGGCAACCTTCCAAAGGATGATGGATCGTTTCAAGGCCGGACTAAAGGAGGTAACTATCGTTGTATATCTTGATGATCTCCTTGATCTCTCCTCTGATCTGCAGTCGCACCTGCAGGACCTGCAACAGGTGATCGATCGACTGCGTGTTTTTAACTTACGAGCCAATCGAGGGAAATGTGTATTTGGTCGTGAGAAGGTAAAGTATTTAGGTCACCTTATCTCCGCAAAAGGGATAGAGCCGGATCCTTCCAAGGTGGATGCTATCGTAAATCGGGAACCGCCGGTGAATCTGAAGGAACTGAAAACCTTCTTGCAAACCTGTTCTTGGTTCCGAAAATTTATTCCGGAGTACTCAAAGGTGAGTGAACCACTTACAATGTTAACACGAAAAAAACAATCTTGGCTGTGGGAGGAACCGCAGAAGAGGGCTTTTGAAGAACTAAAGTCTCGCCTGGCTTCTGCCCCGATTCTCCGCCAGCCCACTTTCGACGAGCCGTTCATTTTGAGGACTGATGCGAGTGCATATGCCATAGGGGCCGTACTAATGCAGGGACCTGACCCCAAATCCGAACGACCTATTGAGTACGCCAGCCGGTTACTCACCAGTGCTGAGCGTAATTATACCACTACGGAGCGGGAAGCTTTGGCCGTAGTATGGGCGTTAGAAAAGTTCCGAGGTTATTTGGAGGGAGCCCAGGTACGTATCGGCACTGATCATCAACCACTGAAGTGGTTGTTCTTCTGAAAACACCCAGTGGACGTCTAGCTCGTTGGGCACTGAAGATACAAGGTTTCAATCTAGATGTTGAATATACCTGGCAGGATCAACGTGGTTGCTGATACTCTTAGTCGTCCTGCTGAGTCAACGAATCCTACGTGCGATGTATGTCCTGTTGTTTTAGACTTACCACATCGTGATCCAAAGACGCTCCGTGATGCACAGCTGGATGATCCTGACTGTAAGAAGATCATCCTGGCTTTCGAGGATGCTGATCCTACGCGCGCGACTCTCTGGACTAATAAAGGGTACTATATGACGCAAGGTGTCTTATACCGAGCTGACCCGGAAGGTGAGAGTGAGGAACCTTTGCTTGTCGTTCCTGTTACCATGCATGATGAGGTGATGAAGGAACTCCACGATGCGCCGACAGCTGGACATCCTGGAATCGAGCGCACGTACCTGAAACTGAAAGAAAGGTATTATTTCCCTAATATGAAACAACTAGTTACGCAATATGTCAAGGCTTGTGAGCTATGCCAGAAGTATAAGCCTACCAACTTGAAACGCGCAGGGTTATTACAAACCCCAACACCTCAGCAGCGTTTCGAAGTTTTGTCCATGGACCTGTTCGACCCTTACCGGAAGGACCTAAAGGTGAGCGCTGGATATTTTAACTGAGGACACAGCAAGTAGATGGGTGGAGATTTTTCCTCTCATAGATGCTACTGCTGAGTCATGCAGCGTCTTGGTCGAAGAAGTGTTCCTACGTTATGGTTTGCCCCGTAGAGTTATCTCCGATAACGGCGTCCAGTTTGTCTCGAACGTGATGCAAAAGGTAATGCTTGCTTTTGATGTCTATCAGAACTTAACGCCCTTATATCACCCTGAAGCAAACCCGGCAGAACGCAAGAACCGAGAGATGAAATTGATGCTCTCTATTCTTCTTAGTGCTGATAGCGATCATCGTGACTGCCATAAGTTACCCTTGATAAGATTTGCCCCTCAATAACGCTCCAAACCAAGGTACTGGTAAATCCGCTGCGTACTTGACGTTCGCTCGAGAGATGCGTGCTCCTATACATCTTGCCGACGATATCCGTCAAGTTGTAAGTTCTAATAATTATGTAGAGCAGATTACAATCTCTACTACGTCATTTCGCTGAGAATTTAGAGAAGGTAACTAGAAGAATCCGAATGAGCAAGAGCGACGAAAACGATATGCTGATAAAGGTCGCCGTCCTGCTCCTGAACTTGCTGTTGGTACAGAGTGCTGATGAAGCACATATACCCCGAGCAACGCCTCTAAGGGTATTAGCCATAAGTTTGGTGGCTAGACGAGAAGGACCCTTCGCCGTTAGACAGAAGGTGAGTCCCACCACTTTCGAGGTTGTAGGAAAGGAAGGCATTGTGAAAGGCAAGCATCATACTAGCGCCTTTAACTCCTTATCCATGGTTCGGATGCTACGTTGAGGCCTCTGAAGAAAAGAGGCCGACTTCAGTGCGGTTGCCAAGCCACCTCCGGGACGTACCGGTGACTTGGAGGGGGAGTCTGTAGCCATCACTCGATTACCTACTCTCGGTATTCGAGAGAGCAGAGGCCGCCAGCGCCGCCTCCCAGCTCGATTCCATGATTGTATACTCTAGATTATGCTGTATGAGTTGTCTCTGCTTG